TTACTATATTTACTATATTTACTATATTTACTATATTTACTATATTTACTATATTTACTATATTTACTATATTTACTTATTTACTATATTTACTATATTTACTATATACTGTATAACCTCTTTTAATGCTCCTATCCTTCGGACTCTAAACAATTGCGGTTAAATTCTAAACTTAAATGTAGATTTTTTATAATTCCGATAAATTGCAGTCATCTAAACTTAGGTAATCTTTTAAGTTCAGATTTCATCCATTTTTGGACCTGTTTTTTCGGTCTAAAACTCGTGTTTTTCTTTGTCCTATATAAGAATATTAAAAAATTATTTTTATGAATATCTTTGCAAAAAACTTATTATAAAGTAATACATACAAGCTACTATATATTTTTTTAATATGGAAGATTTTTTCTAATATTATGTAAAAATTTCCATAATATAGATGGATGTCTTCATTCGATAAATTTTTTTTTTTCATATGGTAAGTTGCAAATATATATACAAATATATAGTATTATATCTCATATATTATAAATATATAAAGCTTGTTCAAAAATTTTTCTTTGTTACTAATAAGCTTGAAATGTCTAATGTCTTTGATAAACCGAAATTCGCAATCAAGATAAAAAAAAATTGTGAATTAAATTCAATACCCGATGGTAATGGGATTCTTGTAATTGCGATAATTTGTTCGAAACTATTATATTGAATCTGTAAAATTAAACCTTCTTCATCATTAATTATGCTTGCTTCGATGTCATTTTATATCATTTAACCTAAAATACGAGCATATAAATGCCTGATCAATTTCGATACTGTATAATTTGTATGTCACAAGGTCTATCTATATCTGATGATTTGATTGATCAAAAAATAAAACCATACGTTTACAATTTTTTGATAAAATAGCCAAACTTTGAAAGGCTACTACACAATCAGTTTAACTTTAAATTAAACTACAAGTTTTATTTTAAAGACAAGAACAAATCTTGTAGTTTATTTTTACATTTTATAAATTTTTTAAAAGAGTAGTATTTTTTGTCATTTTTTATGGAGATTTAAAGCTGTAGGCATCCTACTTTTTTAAGCATAAAAGTGGAAATATTACGATAATGAAGTATCAAGAAAAAAAAAAAAAAAGAATCTTTATATCGACACGTTTATTGTCGCGGATCATAATAATGAAATCGGATTAAAATGAAATGAGGGCTTCTACCCTAAAACTAACCTCCAACCCTATCCTCTAACCCTAAAAAATGCACCTTAAAAACTTTTATTTTTTGGTGGCTAGTCTATTTTTTACATTGTACAATATTTCATTTTAATCCGATTTCATATTAATCTGCCACATTTAATATAATAAACTTTATTAATAACAAATTTAACCCTAATCTATCTAATACTAATCTAAATCCTAATCTAATCTAAATTCTAGTTTCTCCAAATCTAATTCAAGCCCAATTCTAAAAGTATTCAACCAAATACAAGGCCTTTGGACATCATCAAAAATTAGCCGCTATTGATGATATATAACATTAGATATTATTATAGTAATAGATTAAAGTTAAAAAGAATAAATACAAGGCCTTCGAATACTTATATTGAAGCATTATCTTGTTCTAGTTTTTAATTCTCATAATATATTATCTTATCTATATATGTCGATAACGATAATTTTGATTTTTCTTTTAAACGATTAGAAAAGGTCAAAGTTATTCAATTATGATAGTGTAGCAGAATGAATATAGATAAAATCTTTACTGAATATAATAAGTTATACAGTATAACAAATAATTTAAGTAAAGGTTCAGTAAGCTATATAAAAATAATTTGAGCGAAGGCTTAATAAATAATTTGAGCGAAGGCTTAATAAATAATTTGAGCGAAGGCTTAATAAATAATTTGAATGAAGGTTTAGTAAGTAATTTGAGTGAAGGTTTAGTAAGTAATTTGAGTGAAAGTTCAGTAAGTTATATAAAAAAAAATATTTGAGAAGTAATTTGAGTGAATGTTAGAATAAACATATAGACTTTTGAATACTTACAGTATATTAAAGCATCATTCTGTTCTAGTTTTTAATCCTTATAATATGTTATCTCATCTATATACGTTGATAATGATAATTTTGATCTTTCTCTTAGATGATTAGAAAAGACCGAAGATGTCGAAGTTATTCAATTATAATAATATAGCAGAATAGATATAGGTGAAATATTTGCTGAATGTAATAAGTTATATAATCAAATGCCAACAAGGGCGCAATTTATTTTTCAGATATATCTGGACATTATACGCGGATTAAAATCCATTTATTTTTTGATTATATTAACGAAAGATTGATGCTACAAAATCCTAGTTATTCACACCCGTAATTTACTCAAAACTAGAGGTTGCCCCAATTTATTTTTTCATACTTGAATATAAATTATATAGTACAACTACAATGGCATTGCCAGAGCTTCATTGAGTGATCATTTTTTTGGATTAAGTACGCTTTGCTCCTGCTTGAGTTTGACTTTAATTTTGACGGTCTATAATTATTTGATATGAAAAACATGCAGTTTTAGGGTTGGCTGATACATTTACCTTGGCCTTCAGGCCAGAGAATCGAGATTTATCTATTTTGCGGTGTACCTCACTAAGTTACGTGCGCGCGAAAATTGATGACCTTGAAACTTCGCATACATTTTTATTTTTTCGATAGACACAGGTAAAAAAAACATAATAATAATATGCGCGTGCCAATTTGGAACGTATATGTTCGTGATAGGAGTAAGCCGGCTTAGTTATTAATGATTGAGTAAAGTAATCTGTTATTCAATACAAATTATCTAAGATCCAAAAAGGATCTTGCTTTTGTTTTTTCACGTCAGGGGTATCTGTTGTTTCGTGTAATGGTGACGATTGTGGAGATGGTGTATTAAGTCGTTTTCGAGCAATTTTTCGTATCTTTGTAACTAGATCTATTAGTGTGTGCTATATATAGAAAATACAAAGATCTGTAAACACCAATAACTTAACAGAGAAAAATGTGCCCACACACATACCCGTAATGCAAGAAGATTTTCCAAAAAACTTGGCAAAAGATCTTCCATATCGGAGAACGTTGTTGGAAGTATCAGTGTTGCCATCTCAACGAAAAAATAAAAATTTTGAGAACTATCATAAGAAATCGAGTAGATAGTCCATCTTATGCCTATATAACGTGAGAGAAGTTTTTGGTAACAAAGCTAAACATACTGAATGGTTGTCTTTTTACCCACCAGTAATTTGAATGCCAATGGTAAAAACTTCTTCAAGTTCTGCCTTTTTGAAATGTAATTTGTTCCACAAATGTATCTAAACAATCTTTCATTGTTACCTTAAGTTTTGAATGATCCTTTCGATATTTGGTATCATCAATGGGTCCTTCCGTATTTCCTACTTCAAGTGGTAGTAGCTCAGTTTCATGACTTCGCAATGAGATAATTAAATCCATTTTTCTCATGTTAGAGTTTAGCGTCATGTATTCTTCATGCACAGCCTTTCGTTTTCGATTTGTAACACTACGAGATTCCTTCTCAATCCTAGCCAAGTCTTCAGGTTAATATCACAATAAATAATATATGATATAAAAGATACTATCACTTACCAGTTAAGCTCAAAAGTGCCGATATCAAATTCTTCTAAAAGCATGCCAATATTGGACCAAGAATCTTAACAATAAAATCTCGTTCTCGATGTTGCATGATCAGGACATTGATCTCTCTTTGTAAACAGAGATGGCTAAATTTAACCCAGTGAATATTTTCAAAGAGAAAATCTAATGAATTTCTGGTTTTATCTCATCCAAAGTATTTAACTATATACTTACAAAAACTCCATTATTCCAACAAATATTCAGATGATGCTAAGTTTGTAAACTTATTTTTCCATGATTCTAGATCATTTAATGACCGCTACCAAAATACCATTATAATCTCTGAATGTGTTGTAAAAAGCAAGCAACTGCATAAATAAAAACCGACCAGATTCACTGCGTAGCAATTGTTGAACTTTCTTATCAATCTTCTCCTTGCAGAGCTTTTTTCTTGACTTGATAAATAATTGCGAATAGTCTGATACCTTAAGAATCCTGTTCCATTCGACTTTCGTCCAATTTGAAATATCCACAATCCGGGATTCAATAGACCTGAAATTATTTAGCGGTTAAGTAAAAAAAACACATTATTTGTGAAAAAACAATCACAATAGCATACTGCACTCGCAATTTTTCTTTTTTCAATCGTTCCATAACTTTTATCCATATTTCCTCAAGAGTTATGTTTGAAAAAAGCAAGCCAGATATCTGTAGTTGTAATGAAAGGTATCAGATGTTGTTCAAAAAGACATAAGCTGTTTTATTGCATTATCTTATTTACAATAATTCCATCAATTTCTGCAACTTGGTCGCCATTCAAATCACCTATAGAACTATCGACTGAAGAAGTAGATTTGGTATTCCTCTTTTCTTCTTGATCATCGCAATGATAATTTCCCGAACTTACACGGCGATTGTCGATGTTCTGGACTGCAAAATCTCCAGTTAAGTTGTTAAGTTGGTTTATTTTCTTAACCTAATTGACGAAATGTTAAATAATATTTTTTGCCAGTACAATTTCAGACTAGATAGAAGCTAACCTGCAAATGTACATCGGAAGCTGTGCCAATTTTTGTTTTTGTGCTGTCCAATTCTTGGTAAATAAATACTGAATTAATTCTTTTTTTTTTGTGCAATTTTTATATCACCTTTTTAAAGTATCTATTATTTTCAAGTACTGTATTATATACGAAATTAATAATATCAAGCCAAGAGCTATCCTTAGGCTAAGAGACTCAGCTTGCACTAAGCGTCGAACTAAGAGTTCATAACTGGTGGCTAAGAGACCCAGCTTGCACTAGGTGTCGAACTAAGAGTTCATCACTTGGACTAAGCTCTTGCTTCAAATTTCTATCTTATTAAAAAAATCCACTTCTACATTTTATTTAAAGGAATATACCTTCCATTGATCAAGGATTTCTTGAGCTTTTTTTCTCTTTGTCTCGTCAAATTCTAAATCCAATACAACCTTCTGAAGATCCTTTTTTATAGAATCTAGCACTTGCCTCTGATCTTTTTGCAGTTTTGCACGATAGTGTTCCGTTACTTTGACATATGTCCAGTCTCTGACTGCATTGAGGCTATAAAAATCCATGAGTAAAACTACTTAGCTTTTATGCAAAGTGATACAAAATTGTAGTATTCTGCCTTGTATAAAATTTAACATTATGAGTTATCTTGTATTGTGATTTTTCCATCGCCTATTCCATCACACACACATACATTGACAAAATGAAGCAAGAAATTGTGTCAATTTACTTTTTATTTAACATTTATACCCATGCCTTCACCCTTTAAAAATATGATATAACTTCGACTTCTTTTATTTGTATTATTCCATATTGAGTATACCTGCATTTATGTCCTATCTTGTTATGCATAATAATAAGCCTTATAAAGCAGGAGAATTTTATAAGAAAAAAAGATAAGCTATTAAGCAGTTCATATACTGTAATATTTATAAAAATAATTGATATTTATAGAAATGATAAGCGTACAATGTTAAAATATGAAAAAACTTTGGCAAGTGTAACTAGGTGAGATATTTATCAAAATTGGAAAAATTTTAGTAGCTGTAACTAGAGCAGTTATACTTAAATAAAATTTAGTGCAGTAAATTTTATTAGCTCTATTTTAAAACCTTAGCTTTTATATAATCAATATCATCCATATCTAGTCTCAAAATAGTTAACACTAAAAAAAACTTAATATAATATATCTTTTTTTTTTCTCTAACCCTATTAAAAAGTTTGAAGATTTTTATTAATCTTTTCTTTCTTTTTTTAAGATTGGTCTTTAAAACTTTGTTCTGGACTAAAAAGTATTCTGGATTTTATTATTAACTAGAAAATTAGATATATTCTTATTATATATTTTTTTATAATAGTCAAGCTATAATCTATACTCTTTCTTAAAATAATAATATATATGAATCATTTTTAGAATAGTTTTTTCTTATTAATGTAGAAGAACTAACTAATGATAGTTAGACTCAATGCACAGAGCAGACTTTGGATTTTTGCATAGTCATAAGAGCCAGACATACATTGAATGACTTTATAGAAAGAACCCAAATGATCTTAGCTTCTAATTTATCAAATCCTACTAAGACCTCTTTCAAAATACTTTCTTTACAATATTTAAAAAAGCTACTATTCCATCTATTTTTATAAATATCTCTTTACCCAAATCAAAACATCTTCAAAATTCCTTTTCTAAAAACTCTAATAATGACAATATACAGTATTTCCAACTACAAATACTATATTAGGCAAATTAAACAATCTTCCCCTCTCCAATCTACTTGATCTCTATGATCCTACTACATGCTATAACAAATTCTTTTTTTACTTTCAACTTCAACTTCTACTCTCATCTCAAACTCTTGCCTCATTTATACAATTTATTAAATCAAACTACTCAGCATTCTTCTCTAAACAATATATTAAAATTTTTATTCAAACAAAAACCAAATATATCTCCAAAGAGGTACATATATATTTATCACACAAAACTTTCCTCCTACCAAATCACTTCTTGCTTTTTTTCAAAAATCTTAACAATTTTCCAAATATCTTTCTCAAATCTAACTATTTAACTACATATATACTATACTATCTTTACAAATCTATAAACTCTTCTTAAATCAATCTTCAAACCATTTTATACAAATTCTCTCTCTTTCTTTAGAATATACTTCAATTTCTATAAAAATTGTCTCTCTAAATATTAATAGCCTTATTTAATTTAACAAAAAACTTTCAATCTCAGAAATCCTTAACAATAACTTCTTTGAAATTCTAGGTTTTTTTAAAACATATATTTTAACTAAAAAAGAAAAATTCTTTAATAACCAAATACTTAACTATACTAGTTTTTGGAGTTCCTACTCCTTACCATACCAAGCAGGTGTTGGTATCCTTATTTATCACAAAATTGCAAAACATATTGCTTATTCACATAACTATAAAGACTATATTATTAATCTAGATCTTATTTTTTTTTTTTTTTTTTTTTTTTAAGAGAGGTCTTTCCTCTATTCCTTTATTTCAAAATATATAATTGAATACAATTTGTACAAATTTATACATTAAACGAAAGGGAGTAGAAGTTAGGGCTCAGGTTTACCCTCGACCTATTCTTAGCTAGAATGGTCGAAAACCTCTAGGCTATGTAATTAAGAAGTGGGGATATAGAATTATTGTAAATGAGTTTGTTAATCCATGCAACGAATTGTCTATCTGTTGAACTGAGGGGAGTATCATTTACTAAGGGGGTAATAATAATTAGAGGTTTGGGAGTGGATTGTTGTGTATAAGTTCGGCTTGGTTTCCATATTTCTTCATATATAATAATTAAGGAGTTAGGGGTAGAAAAATTTGTATAATAAAATATCGTAGTGAAAAATGTGGAGTATAAGTTCGTCAGATTGTATCTAGTAGGCAGTAAGCCGGTTTGCCAATTTTCTTTCATAGTGGTGGAGAGTAATTATCAAGAATATCCCAGTGGGGGTCTGGTAGGTCGGAGAGATTGAGAAGATATGAAGGTATGCCTTTAAAATTAAAGTGGTTTTGTAGTTCTGCAATGGTGCTTTCGATTTTTTCTTGTTCGGTAATTGGGATGCGAATTGTGTGATGCAGATTTGTTTGCTCAAGGTAGGA